TGGGTGGCCCCGCGGTTACCCCCAGCCTGGCCCTGTGGCTTCTCTAGCACCAGGTCAACCTGGTTGTAGCCAAGCAGCTGCTGCAGCACCATGTCAACCTGGGCATGCATGCCATGTAAACCAGTACCATGTCAACCCCTGCAACTTCATTGGTGTCAAAGGTCACGTGACATCACTTCCTGATATGATATCACTTCCTGTGACGTCTTTGAATATGGCTCGCCGGCCCACTGGGCGATAAAAAGTTTGTGATCCAGCCCCACATTCAAAAAGTTTGGACACCCCTGGTATAGAGCATGCCAACTGTTATGATTTGGTATGATTAAACCTGAATTTAGAGTGCCTTCATTATGAAGGCTTTCACCTTTCAACCTTTAAATACTTTGGCTGTATTTTTTTAAAGTAACAAGAATTTGATGTAAGAATACAGTGTTTTCATTCTTTTTGTATGCTTATGATGAACAGTATCTTATAAATACTTAATTTGGTCTGAGTTTCTCAGTAAAATGTATATGTCCATTTCAGTTACTGCTTGCTTTGAGCTTTCTAATAATTTCATATCTGGGTTAAAAAAATGAAATCTAAGTGAGAGGAAGTTTAAATTAAGGTACTCAGTTTGCCAGTGTTGCTTTAAACGTTTCCCCCCGTTCCCTGTCTTCGTTTTGTCAGCGGTACGTCTTACAGGATAGAAAGTCCTGTACTCTTTTAAGGAAAATGGAGTATTTTATGTTTTAACTGTAACCCTTTAAAATGCCAGCTTTTCCTAGATTCCCATCCAAATATGTCCATTGAATGAATGTACACAGGTATGGCCTGACTCAAAATGGTTAATTTGACTCTTCTTGCTTTTGTAATTGAAGCAGTATTATATAAATTGTTTGGTCTGTACATATGAGTTCCCTCTAGTCCTCCCTCCCCCCTCAAAAGTTTTCGGCTTGCTAAATAGGCAATTATGTCTTGATGTACTTTGTCACTCCTTGGTGGCAACGCTGAATGAGGATGTCATAGTCCAAATAAACACATTATGCAATATTAACTATTTCAGTACTGCAAGGTATACAAAAGTAATCTGTGGTAGTCTTGGACATTAGTGCTTGTTTCAGCCAAATACAGCTGCAATAACTTGTCCTCTTCTTTTAGAGAAGTCCCTAAGTTTCAGAGATGACATGTGGGCTCTTTTAACAAGATTCTTTTAAAGGACATGCATCTCTTTTAAAGGACATGCATCTGCAAGGGTTGGCTTGTGGTTGATTTGGTCACACATGCAAATTCAGTAATTTTAAAATTACCAATGCTAGATTCTATTTTTCTTTTTGCATTATTAATAGAATTAGTTTGGATGAGGTATCTACAGGAATAATTATGTCTGCAAGGACATTCACAGCAGGTTGTGATGTGTGAAAGGAGATTGTGTTATGTGAATGACTGTCCCTGTAACTTCACATAAGCTTTCCATGAAAACTGAACACAACATGCTGAGACCTAATAAACTTGGAAGCCACATTGCCTTATGACAGCTACTTTTCATGGTGGAATCGGTTTGAGAATTTTGTTAAAGCTTTCTATTCCTGAATTTCAAAAGTAATCCTTGTTAAATATTTCTTACAGATTCCCCTCATGGATTTATTAACCATGTTGATTTTTTTCAGAGACTACTTCATTTGAGAAATGAAATATTAATAAAATAGTTGTACTATGGAAAAACCAGTGCTATCCATTTCTGTTGTATCATGAAAACTCTCTTACATTTTGCATGTACCACGTTGATTGTATATCAACTTTTTAAACCTGTCCTTCAGATAAAATATTCCTTCCTGATGCTACTTTTCTCCTTGGTAATAGTTGTTACTAAAGTAGTCCGAGTCTCTTAGTTTAAAGATTAGAAAATGCTAATGTGTACAAAGCTAGAATTTCCCAGGATGCTTGTGTGTGTTCGTTGTTGTTTTTTAACGGTGGTAAATTTTATGTTTGCATAAAATAACGTTCTAAATTCAGGTATTTTCATCTCTGTTTTGATTTTTACAGAACATTGACAGGGTGGTTTTTGTTGGAAACTTTCTCAGAATCAATATGATTGCTATGAAGGTGCTAGCATATGCCATGGATTATTGGTCCAAGGGACAGCTGAAGGCTCTGTTTTTGGAACATGAGGTATTCATTGCATTCCTTGTGAGTTATAAGAAAAAAACTATCTTTCTTTTGAGTGTATAGAGTTGCCATGCAAAAGACTTCTCAGAAAGAAAAAAATCCATGGACAGGTCTTTGCAATAGCATTTAACACAAAGGTTGTTTAAAATGCTCCTGATTTTAAATCCCCGAGTTTAAGCAATTTAGCCACTAATCTTTCAGGAATCACTCCCCTCCTAGAACCCCCCCGTTTTTTTTAATATATGGTCATATGTGTAACCTTCAAGCTGTTCAAGGTTTGGTAGACTAGTTGAGATTTTCTTTTTCTTTCTGCAGAGGTGATAAAATTTAGTTTAGAATAGAAATTGTTTTACTTTTAAGTGTAATGTCACTTAGGGTTCCTAGAGATGTTCAGGGCCCCACTCTAACTTTTTTATGGTGCTTTATATAAAGCCCCATGAGTTATAGTTTCATAGTAGCTAGGGTCAGGAGGGACCTGAACAGATCATCTAGCCTGACCCCCTGCCCACAGGCAGGAATGAATGCTGGGTTCACAAGACCCCAGACAAGTGATCATCCAACCTCCTCTTGAATATGCCCAAGGTAGGGGTGGGGACCACCTCCCTGGGAAGTTGATTCCAGATTTTGGCCACCCTAACTGTAAAATATTGCCTTTTGATCTCCAACCTAAACCTATTCTCCATCAGCTTATTATCATTGTTCCTTGTCACGCCAGGTGGTGCTAGGGAGAAAAGAGCTCTGCCTATTTGCTGTTGATTCCCCCCCCCCCCCCCCCCCCCCCCCCTCTGTGAAACAGCTTTTTTTTCATGCTTTAGAACCAAATATAAACAAATAGTTTCTTCCCCTCTGGTATCCGGTAGCAAAAATCACTCAAGAGCCTAGTTTGGATGTCTGCCTGGAAATCCTAGATAGAGGCAGGTGCCTTTTGTGATTAAATGTGAGTCTTAAATATTTTTCTCTTTTAGGTCACACTCCTGCTTTATTCCTGAAGTTAATGAATCCTTACTTTGTCCAACAATAGCTCAGCCTTTGTCTGCAGATGCTGCCTAGGATGTTTGATGTTTGAATTACTGTTGAGAGAGCACCTGGTCTGAAAAGCACATGGCCCTTCAAGAGGAAAAACCTACTGAACCATGTGGCTTGTTTCTTCTATAGATTTAATAATATGTTATTTTAAAAAAGTCATTGAAATGGATCTGTGTTGTCCAATCTACTTTTTTACTACAAAAACTTTGGTCAAAATTTCACTTGGCTCTACTCTAACATTATATCATCCTGAAACATTCGGCATGAAAGACCAGCAGAAAGATACTGGTAAGTTATGGTTTACTTTGTTTTAAGATCTTAGTCTTGGAAGTGACTTGAATGGCATAATGTCATGGGGAAACAGTTGGGGGCAATCTCTGGGCACTGGTACCAGCTTCTGATGAAATGAGCATCAGCTCATGAAAGCTTGTGTGTGTGCATGTATAGCATGTGTGCACACTTTGGTTAGTCTATAAAGTACAAATCTACCCTGCCTTAAATTTGGTTTAATGTCATATATAGTCTGGGAAAAGTGTTACAAGATAGGTAAGCTGTGCAAAAAAACTATTAACTTCATTTTAAATATGAATGACACTTGTATAATTACCTATTTTTTTACTGTACTGTTTGGCTTTACTGCCAATATTGAAGGCTCAACTAACTAACTGAAAAATATTTAGAGATTACAACAGGAAAAATGAGTTTGAGAACATGGGATGCTACTACTGGGTAAAGATAATCAAAGCTGCTTGGTCATAACTTTGTGCACAGACACACAATATAGAAGATCAAATTTTTGCTACATTACACCCAAGTTCTTTGGAATTACACCATTAACTTAGAGGAGAAAAATATGTGAAACTTAATCCACATGAACTTGCATGGGCTAACAAGTGTGCATGCACATGAAAATGTGGCTATTGTAATTAATGGAGATAATTAATCATTTAAAATAAATGAGCATCAAAGTAAATATACAGAACTTGTATACACATCAATGCTACTATGATTAAATGACAGTGTCTTACAAAGAAAACCTTGCATGAGTTTTTTAAGACTGCACCACTCCAGAATTTGTTTGTTTTCTGATCTTCTATGAAGGGAATTATATCTTTGATTTACTGGTGCTACACTCCTGGCTGAGGAGGAGTATTCCTCCTTGGTGATAGTGCCTCCCTTCCACTGGTTGTACGCCTCCTTTTTAGTCCTCAGGCATTGCTGAATGCCCTTGCTGAGCCAAGGGGGTTTCTGAGCACTCTTACCTCCTTGCTTCTCTCAGGGACTGTTATCCTTTGGGCCTGGAGGATCGCCCCCTTAAAGTGCGACCATCCCTCGTGGGCTCCCATCTCCTCTACCTTCTGGGCCCTTAGTGCCTCCCCCACTAGTCTCCTAAGCTCATTGAAGTTGGCCCTTCTGAAGTCAAGGGCTTTAGCTTTGGTGTGAGCCCTAGACGCCCTGTGTTGGATAGTGAAATCCAGCAGGTGATGATGGCTATTGCCCAGGTGGTCAAGGACCTGCAGTCCCCTCACCAGGTCATCCCCCATGGCCAGGACCATGTCGAGCAAGGTGTTACCCCTTAGTAACTAGTTAGAGCTATTCCACCCCCCCTCCCATAACTCAGGATGTCAAAGGAGGTGGGATTGGAGCCTTTCTGCACTGGACCTGGCCAGCGGGCAGGTGTGCTCTGGAAACCTCCAAGGAGGCTATAGAATTGTCCCTCTCCCTAGCCCCTCCCCTACCCCTATCGGGGGGGTGGGGGCGGTGGCTGGACCTGTGAGGTGAGGGGGTTCTGTTCCACCCTCCTCCCCCTTCCCCCATCTCTGGCCATTCAAAAGCAGCCAGCAGCTCTGCCTGGCCGCTTCCTCCTCTTCCCCCTCTCTCCCTTGCTGACAGCCCTGGGGATGGGACTGGGCTGGTGCTGCTGGCATAAACACCAGCTCAGCTCTGTCCCAGTGCAAAAAGTAACCCTGGAGAGAACACAAGTTCCCTAGGATGCTCTGCTTTAAAGCACCTTAATCTAATACTTAGTTTTACCAGGGTTAACTTTTTGTGATATTGGCCATTTTAAGAGCACTTTGCAGCCATGTACTTGTGTTATGTCATGACTGTAGAGTGCTTTCAGGGGCCCAATCGCACAAAATAGGCGACCTTGTGGCTGCCTATAAATTCATCACGGGGGCACAGAAGGGAATTGGTGAAGTTTTATTCACCAAGGCAGCCCCGGGGGGTACCAGGAAAAATGGCCACAAGCTCACAGAGAGCAGATTTAGACTGGACATTAGGAAGAACTTCTTCACAGTTAGAGTGGCCAAGGTCTGGAATGGGCTCCCAAGGGAGGTGGTGCTCTCCCCTACCCTGGGGGTCTTCAAGAGGAGGTTGGATAGGCATCTAGCTGGGGTCACCCAGCCCTCTTCCCTGCCTATGCAGGGGGTCGGACTCGATGATCTATTGAGGTCCCTTCCGACCCTAACATCTATGAAAATGTCACTTGTATAAGCACCCTTAGTGTGTATCCATTATTCTTTCTCATTTTCCCTTTGATTACTTAAATGAGCTGTTTGATGCATTTCTGAAACTGGTCCCTATCGTTTTGTCACTGTAACCAGCGTCAATTTAAGTAGCCTTATGTAGGTTGACTGACTTCCTAGGATGCATAATTTTAACTGTCTTAGGCTACTGACAGATGTTACAAAAAAAGGCACAATGGTATCTGATATGCGGTCTCAATAATTGCACTTTCTGCCATGTCACGATTCCATCCCATGCCATGGAATCAAGCATCAGATCCTATCGCACCATATTTCAGTGTGAGGAAAGCTGGGATTATTATGATCCTGGGTTCCCCCTAAACTGGCAGCCTTCACTCTTGTGGCTGGGAGCCCTGTCGGCTGATGGAGGTTCCAGCCACGAGTATGTGGTGCACCTCTGTGTTTGGGAGCTTTGCTCACTGGTGGAACATACTGGTGAGCAGTATGTTCCAGATGCTGGGAGCACTAGCTATGTGTTCAGTTTAAAGGTGTGATAGGAACCAGCAAGAGTTATTACACAAAATGCGTGTAACAACTTTTCATTCCATCCAGGAAGAGCACACACCAACTGCTGCAGCTTCCTGAGCCTGACGAAGGGTTTTTGAACCCGAAAGCTTGCTTAATAACTATTCTCCAACCATTTGGGTTGGTCTAATAAAAGATATCAAATTCACCCAAGGAACCTTGTCTGCCTGTAACAACTTTGTCACTTGTTCCTGGTTTATCTTGCCATTAATAGAATATGGCCAGGTCACTATTTAATCGCATCTTAAGTGCAACATGTATCAGGGACCTAATAATGTATCCAGCCTTTACAGTCATACCCCTTTTTACATATTTCAAAATGTTTAATAGTTATTATTCTTTTGCTTTTTAAGGGTTACTTTGGAGCTGTTGGAGCCCTTTTAGAATTGCTTAAAATGACAGATGATCAGTGACAAGCCACCTGGACACGGATACCTATCAAAGATGCTGCTGGATAGAATGAAGCCACTACAAGGATGGAAACAAAGCCATTATGGCAGTTCTACCTGCTGGATTTGTAAATAATTTAGAATCCTTTTAGCTGATCATTAACTTTGGGTTTTGAGTTTATACTGCAAAATTCATACTGGGAATAAAGAGGTTTTTCTGTATACTGTATTTTTTAGGGAAAAATGTGCACCGTGGCCAAACATACAGATTTTATGGATTATTTTAAAAAAGTGAATATTGTTTAAAGAACGACTTATAATGAAAGATGCCTGCTTTTCTTCTGGGGTTTACTTATTAGTGTGGTAATTTTAACTTCATTTAATAATCACTCTAGGAGATTTTTATCTTATTTTTCATGACGTTTCATGATTTGCTCTTGGTTTCAAATGAAACCACAAAGCTAGCACACTTTACTGTTAACACTAATGTCGCTGATTTTTTTTTTTTAATCTTTTTTTTTTTTTTTTTTAGTCAGTTAGGACACTGTCCTCTTGTCACTTCCCCAAAAACATGATGACCTTTCTTAGACCTGTTTCTGTTGAAAACAGGTGCTAGTAAACCTGCAGGGGAAGGAATAAGGTCCAAAGTTTCTTAAAGTCTCTGCAGCTTTTTGAAATCACAAATCACGCTGCTACCTGCTTATTGCAGTAAAAAAAAACAAAACACATGTGTTTTGGTCTCTCTTCACTGAAGATTTTTAAAAGTTTAAATTGAAATTTTTAATTTGCGTCCTGAAACTAAAGTGAAAGTCTCTCATGGTGAGATTTTGCTCATACATGGAAGGGTATGCTGTAGGGTATGAATATTTATAGATTTGCAGATGCTTGGAGTAAGAAAATAATGGGAGACAGTTTTCAGTATCTCTTCCTATGTAGTTGTCTTGGAGTTTTGAGCAAAAGGCAACTATTCCCTCCAGGATTTTTAAGGTCTGAGTATTTATCATTATAGTTCTTTGTCTTGCAAGCCTGTATTTGAAAACAGCCTTTTTGATGTTTTTCTTGTTTTGAGGGGTATTTTTTGTTTTTTTCCTTCCTTTTTTAAAATTGATTTCCATATCTCAAACCTTGAAAAAGTTTATACCGACTAAAATGTTAACTTGTCTGGTGGAAATAAAGCCCATTACTAATGTGATGATTATATTAGGTCTGTGAAATTTATTCCTTAAACCTAGCTATGTGGAATAAATAGCAGAATGTTTTAGTGCCTTCCTGTTACTCTTATGATCGCTTTTTTGGTACTGTGCTTTTTTTCACCTTTGCATTTTGGTTTTTGCTACCTTGATTCATTCACTTATTTTAGCCTTTATTAAATTGCTTCTTTTATGACAGGATTGAAAGTTTTGCCTCCTTAAATTCTATTACTTACATAGGTTTTATACATTATGAGAACATATAAAGAACTTTGAGCATAATTAAGTTGGTCCATTCACATAACATAACTGAAATCAAAAGAATTAAAATGGGAATGCATCTGGTATAATGTCTCTAGTCCTCCATAAACACAGTAAGCTTATATAAAGCTTTTTTTAGCCATTAAAGTGTTGTGTGATCTTGATAATTGTAGTGGCTGCTCCAAACATTGTGCACTTTACTGAATGGTGAAAAACGAGAGTATTTGTTGCATATGCACTGTTTGTGGACCATGCCATGGCATGCCTGCTCTGCTGGAACCATGTCCCTAAATTGATGCAATGTAATTGTCCTGGACTGGAGCCAGGCATGCGCCATAAAGCTTCTCGTCTTGGGCCATGTACCCAATAAGCATGCCCAGCTCCATACTATAGCAGCCACCTTATGCTTGATTCATGCATGGTTTAGTGCCCGTGGATCCAGTATATCATGCTTCATTGTAGCACTCTTGAACACAGTGTAGACATGCTGCAAAGGCTTGATTTTTTGAGTGGCTGTGCAGGGAGGGCTCAAAGAGGGGAAAAATTTGTAAGAGTAGCATCTTGCATAAAACCTCAGTATTTGCATAAAATTCAGGAAGTGTGTAGAGGAGTGAACCTGGATATGGGCTATGGTTGGGGATTTTTTACTTGAAAGAATGAGACAGACAATTTCTAATTTCTAGCAGCGTAAAGACATCAGATATTCTAATCAGCTTCACCCGGAATGGATTTTGGGGGGAAAAATAAGCCTTGTATCTAACCTTCCAAGCAAAAGACTTACTGATCACATTAACTTGGAGATATTCCAAAGCTCTGCAGAAATTGCTAGCGACATGAAAATGTACAGTGCTATATGTTGCTGTGTAGAGAACAACTATTACTCATTTTCCCACGGATTCATTGAGCCTGTTTGAGACTTGCAGCAGCTTTGTGTTTAATCACTTGATTTTTCAAGTATTGGGGGGGAAGACAATGGAGTTTTCCATTCCCTTTGTCATTTTACTACTCCTTTTTGCACTATGCCACTAAAAAGCCAGAGGCAAACAGATTCCAGTCACTTCTCCTGGCTTCTGTTCAACATGAATTATCCATGTATGTATTTATTTATTTATTTGTTGCATAGGATATTGGTAATCCTAATTACTGCTTATGAAACTATGTTCATAAGTTTGGCATATTTGTTTGGTTTGGTTTAGTTTTTCTTCTCAATGTTCATGTGTGGAAATATTACAAACTGTGTCTTAATGCTATTATTTTAACAAAGGAAGCAGTGCAGATGTTTTCAGTAGTTGCACTCACTGTTGTAAACAGTAGAGGGAACCATACAACTATGCATGGTTCTAGCATTCTTGGACTGCGTTTCACATACCAAAGGGATTATATTTCATTTACATTGTTATTAAAAAAATATATATATATATATTTCCTGTCCTCCCTTTTTTCTTTTTGAGCTTTGTCATTCCAAGCAAGGAAACAAATTCCTCAGGACAGAGCCTGTCTGAAAGTGTCCCAACTCCAGAAATTAGATGTACATATTCTACAAACAGTTATCTTGAGTGTCTCAGCTGCTCTGAGCTACCTGGGTAAATTGTAAAATAAGAAGCTAGTCTTAACGTACTATATCCTGTACTCGGGTCTCTCAGTAGAGTTGCTTTTAATATTCCATGTGCATCTCTCTATGAGCTTCAACCTAAAAGTTCTAAAAGAAATATTTTGCAAATAATTAATAAGCAAAATTAAAGGTAGTGACCACACAATCTTATGATTACCAAAAATTTTTGGTAAACTGGATTATGCTATGAATTAGGCAGAGGGAAAGAAGCAAAAACAAAAACAAGAAAAAAAATAAACCAATGAGGAAGGAACCATAAGTAAATAAAAATATACTTTTAAAAGGTCCCCATTATGTCAAATAGTTTTGTTGCTTTATTCTCTCATGAATATGCTCTTACATACATTTTCATTCACTTCAACCAGTAAGGTGCAATATAAATGAATGTGACTAGTCTTTTGAAGTACAAATTCCAGTACTTTTACAATGGAACTGCCGAAACTGCTTTATGTAAAAGCATATCCAACTTTACCCTAAAGCCTACATTTACATGTTAATTCTTATTCAAGGTTGATATGGCACCGGGGGGCCTAATGGCTTCATAAGAGGTGCACCGATGCATCTGTCTGATATCAGATCGGAACCGATATGAAGAAAATTGTCTATATTGGCCCTATGGGCCTGATAATTTGGCCGATAAATACCCATCTGCATGCAGCCGCAGTGCAGCACGGAGCAGAGCCGGCAGTGTGGAGCACTATCTTCAGCTGGTAAGTCAGAAGGGGAGGGAAGGGGAGTCGGGGAGGCAGGTCAACACCCCCCATGGTAAAGGAGGGGGCAGGGGCAGGCACTGCCCAGCTGGGGTGCAGGGTGGGGTGTCGGATGAAGCCATGGCTCGGGCCTGGCTCCTGCCTCTGCTTGCACCCCAGGGGGATGGGGGCATGTGCCCCCACATCTGTGCAGCACTGGGCAGGCAGCAGCTGTGGGGAGGAGCAGGCCAGGGGCTGGCCTCAGCAGGCTCTGGCGGCGATGGGAGGAGGCTGCAGTCGCCCCAAATTTCACTGCAGCTGTACTAGCAGCCGCGCAGCCCCAGCCCCAGGTGAACACCCTGCCTCCACCTAAGCACCAGAAAAAGCTACAGCTGCGGTGGTGCAGGGCTGGAAGCAGAGCTATGGCAAAATTTGGGGTGGCTGTAGCCTCCTTCCAGCACTGCCAGAGCCTGCTCTGAGCCCAGCCAAGTAAAGCCCTGCACATCGCTGGCTCTGCCCTAGAGCTGCAGCCTGCCCCATGCTGCGCAGATCTGGGGAGCACAAGGGACTTACCACCTGGAGGCAGCGGTACTGGCTGATATGTCTCCTTAAATATCGGCTAGCTGTATCAGCCCCACAGATCTCTAGTGATGCACCCCTAGGCTTCACTGATGTATTTTACACTAGATGCTATCCAAATATATCAGATAAAATCCATTTCTTGGACTATGTTTGGGCCCACAGGTAAAATGGGATCTTGAGTAAACTATGCTTGGTTTTGGCCCTAGAAAGAATTGCATTAGACATCCAGAGATATCTTATTTTTCACATTGGTTTGTTTGTTTTATGGAATTGTTAAGGTGGATGGGAAGGGAAATCAGCCAGTTCAGTGGATTGACCAGTTTTGGCAGAACCTGCAGTTTCAGTATAACCTTGTTGGACTCCGCGATCTCTGGAAAAGCAGGCTGTATTGATGATTGTTCTCTGAACTGTGCCCTAAGGCAAGGGTGGATAAAGTCCAGCCTGTAGGCTGGATTGGACCTGCAGTGGACTCCATTTCCCAGCAGCCCCGCCTGCATTGCTATGGTCACTTTCCATGGAGACCCCCAGGAGTAGCAGGGCTAGGGCTTCCATGGAGACTGGCCCCACCAGCGTTAGCTCGGTGAGCTGGTGGGCAGGAAGCTGCTCCAGGGATAGGGCTGGGATCTTGTGACAGTGACAGCATGGTCCAGAGCCAGGACAGAGCTGTGATGTGCTGCCTGCATGACCCAGGCAGGGGTGTGGATCACAAGTCTGCCCCACCTCTGGACCACATTGTGATTGCCACAAGATCCCTGCCCCAGCTTTGGAACAGCTTCCCATTCATCCTGCTTATGCTGCTGGCGCCATTTCCATGGGAACCGTGGCTGCAGGCTGTCCCAGCCCTGGTGCTCTTGGGGTCTCCATGAAAACTGTCCACAGTGATGTAGGCAGGAGCTTCTGGGAAATGGTGGATCTGGCTGGCAGCCAGATTCCATTTTGTCCACCCCTGCCTTAAGGCATGTGATAGTAATGTATGCCCCGGGGGCTCAATCCAGCCTGTGAAAATTGGGTACAGCCTGTCATTGTGGGGCTTCAGTAGCATTCAGCAGCAGGTGCACTTCTTGTTCTGCCATAGGGAGAAGCTGTGGCAGTGGCTGTGTCTTAGTGCTTACCTGCCTCTGACTTGGTGGGTCATTCCAGCCTGCAGCTGGAATAGGTTGCTTACCCTTGCCTTTAAAGCAGTGGTGCTGAATCTGGCCTGTAGGCTGAATCCAGCATCCCATGGGTTGAAAAATGTGGCAGCGGGGGAGCAGTGGCACTACTGCTGCCTGTTACTGCTACCGCGATTTCGGGCCCCACGGGGCAAGTTGGAGTTGGGCCATGACACTTTCACACAGTCAGATTGTAGATGGGCTACACCCCTTTCCCTCCATGCAGCCAGATTGGGGTCGAGCTGCATCCCTTTACCCTCCCTGCCGCCGAAGGGGGGCCTGGCCACAAGCCTTCTCCCCCACAGGGTGGGGCCTTGCCCCTTTTCCTTTTGCCAGGTTGGGGCTGGGCCATGACCCTTTACTCCTACAGGGGTTGGATCAGGGCTGGGCCATGTCCCCCCATCCTGCAGGGCCAGGTTGGGGCTGACCCAAGCCCCTTCCACTATAGGTGGATGGTGGCTGGGCTACACCCCTGCCCCTGGATCTGGCCCACAGGGACCAGGCACTGTGAATCCAGCCTGCCAGCCAAAAAGGTTGAGCACTGCTGCCATAAGGCAATAATTCATGTAAAACTGGAGCAGTGTGAGTAGGAATCAGTTGTTTCAGTAATAATGGATTGGGGCATTTACAGTTTCTATTAATCATTCTCTATGGTTACTTCTGCACCCCCCCCCCACCTTCTGGTGGAAGCTGTGGGGTTTAATGTTAGTCTTATAAAGTTGGAGGGGGGGGGAGGGAATCATCCAATCGAAAATAATTTAAGAAAATGTCCTCTTGCTTCACAGACATCAGAAATTTAATTAAAAAAACCCCAGACTATAATAGTGGGTAGTCATAGGAATTGATGATGACACCTGAGAGGATTATCTTTTACCCATCATGTTTCCCATTTATGAGAAGAATTCAGGGATAAAGTTCATAGGGGGATCCATGGATGTGATTTCTTGTAGGATACTAGTGCCTATTCGATGCTCCAACTTTGGCAAACCTCTCAGCTGCTTTAGTCTTATCAGCATTCACATTACTATTTAGTATATCACAAGGTAGTCTAAAGCATTTTTGGCAGCATATAGTGGAATTTTAGGGAAGGAATGCTGTAAGGGTTTCAACTTGAGACAATAAATGCACATAATCGTTACTTTTTGAATTTGTCTCATTTAGGCTCTGCCTTCTAAACATACACAGCTTCCTTGGATCCGGATTAGAAAGAAATACATGATCCTTTCTACAGTTTGAAACGTTATCTTTTGTCTTTACTCACCCCATGAATAAATGAGAGCTAACTGAGATAATGATTCTGCGGAGCATTATGAAAAATACATCTTTGCTTATAATATGTAACAATCAAGTAATTTTCAATTTCCTCAGAATTATTTATGATTTCATAGACATTTGGGCTGGAAGGGACCTCAAAGATCATTGAGTTCAGCCCCCTGCCCCAGGGGCAGGAAGTCAGCTGGGCCCAGATGATCCCAGCAAAATAAACATCCAAATTTCTCTTGAAGGCATTCAAAGTAGGTGCTTGAACCACCTCCAATGGCAGGCTATTCCAGACCTTGGGGGCTCGGACAGTAAAGAAGTTCTTCCTTACATCCAGCCTGAAATGGTCCTGAAGGAGTTTGTGACTGTTGGGCCTTGTCATCCCCTGGGGCGCTCATGTGAGCAGACGTTCTCCTAGATCCTGGTGAGCACCCCTGATAAACTTACAGGCAGCCACCAAATCGCCCCTGAGCCTGTGCTTTTCCAGACTGAAGAGTCCCATAGCTCTCAGCCTCATTATAAGGTCTATTATCCTGACCTCTGATCATGTGCGTGGCTCTTCTCTGGACTCTGTCAAACTTCTCCACATCCTTTTGGAATTGTGGAGCCCAAAACTGGACACAGTACTCCAGCTGCAGCTTCACCAAGGCTGAGTACAGTGGGAGAATGACGTCCTGGGATTTGCTTGAGAAGCATCTATGGATGCAAGCCAGCATTTTGCTCACTTTTACTAGCCGCAGCATCACATTGATGGGTCATGTTCATCTTGTTGTCAATGATGACCCCCAAGTCCTTTTTGTCTGTAGTGCTAGCCAGTGTAGCACTGCCGAGCCTATAAGGATGCTGCCGGTTTTTCTTCCCACGGTGGAGAACCTTGCATTTTTCAGTGTTAAACACCATCGGGTTCTCGTCTGCCCGTTTCCTGAGTCTGTCAAGGTCAACCTGGATCACCCCAAAGTTTAGGGTCATCAGCGACCTTGACCAGTCCACTTCTGACTCCAGTGTCCACATCATTAATGAAGGTATTGAACAATATAGGTCCAAGGACAGAGCCTTGAGGGACCCCACTGGTCCCAGTGCACCACAACAATTGACTTCCGTCAACC